TATTATAAAATAGTGTAGAGGCGCTCAAAGCATACTTCGCTGTGTTGCTGTCTTCATCACGGCTAGCGTTCGTTCTTGTGTTTCCGTTAGTTCCGTTAGTTGCTTGCTGTAGCATTAACTTTGCCAGTGAGTGACTGTTGTGGCAAAATGGCTACAGTTTAGTTGGGGGTTTCTGTCTACATCACCTCAGATAAGTATGATAATGGTAGAAGGAATGGCAGAAAAAGTTTGAGAAGAACGTACTCTGCAGTTTTTGAGTGCTTCCGGATCTAATCCAATGCCTCCACGTATCAAGATAACAGTAAGAGCAGCCTTCCTGAGAAATCCGCTGATTGCGTCATCAATAAATATATGTACTGATATTGCTGGGATGTTCCGAAACAAAATACCACACAACAGTACACCTGCAGCAATAAGTTGAAAACGTCCATAAATTGCCGGCAGCGGTACTTTAGTAATATCACTGGCTTTATTCCGCTAGTCGAAGTCAGCTCTTCATGACGAATTTTATACTGACTTGCCTGATAAAGGAGGCAAACCAACGATATGAGTTAAATAGCCTAGTGCAACGGCAGCAATCCAAATTACAACAACGGATATTGCGGAATGTCCATAATCGACATAAGTTGGATTTGCCAACGTAACATTTTGCAGCGGATTAACGAAACGCCGATGGAATACTACAAGCAGAAAAACATTCATTCAGCACAAATTTGATAAATACTAACTTACTAAGTCGAGGTAAGATATTTCACCATGGTTAGAGTGGTCATTTTCATACAAAGATGCTAATTACTAAACACACCAGTGTCCGCAACACTACCGAAACTTTATCAAAAAGCTAGTTCCGGCGGAATCGTTGAGTTGGCGGTTCCTTCATAAGACATATATCCCGTGTCAGGATCATCGGTACGCTGATTCCAGAAGATGAAATACAAGTCAAAGTAACTGAAAAGCTTGTCACTTGCAAAGCTGCAAAGTTACCCTGCAGCTAATCAAAATTATCAAAGGATGCGAATGACGTACAAGCAAGAGCTGTCAGATAGATCGAAACGAATACCAGCACGGAACATACAATTAAATTGAACTGAAATAATCTTTATCAAAGCCATATCCCGGTTTATCAAAAAAATGTACCTGAAGCGAAGATTAGGAAGAAAGAAGATTGTATTCAAGCAGCGCCAAGTGCTTACGAGAACGGTGAGAAATACAAAAAAAGCGACTAAAAATGCGTTAAAATTTGGCCGAACAGGCGCAAAATTTAATTGGGTGAGCAGCAGTTTATAAAGAAATAAACAAAATCAGACACAGCATAGATGACTGGAAGCAACGATCATTTGGTGTCGGGCTTCGTAAGTTGGGATATCAAACCGCCGCCAGACATATCGCTGTATAATTTTTAATGGCCAGTTATAGGTATTTTATAATAAACATGCTTAAAGTTTACAATGATATCTTAGAAGGCCCAATTGTGGTACTGTGTTAAGACGCACGCAACTTGTTGGACCGGAACGTCATCATCTCAGCCAAACTTTTAGTTCTTCACACAAGTTTAAGTTTTGATTTTCAGTATTTTCGAACATGCTTCATCTCTAGCTGGTAGAATATTTCTTGCGGACAGCTTGCTTTAGCTCAGCGAGCAGCTAAATAACAAACATTAAAAATTTACATTTTCAGTTAGGTACAATGGAGACTAAAATGCATACACGTGAATTCTGCGTCAGCCAAATAAAAGAATCAATGCTTTTCCTGGCTGATTTCGATACTGTTCTAAATTTCGGAAATGATTCTGTGGATATCTTCATTGTCGCATTGGGACACCAATTGTATTGAAAAGGCTGCTAATGATAATGACGACGTTATAATTGATATTGGTACTGCCGGTAATAGATGTGGACGCTGATAATGATAACCATGCTGCAAAGGCTGAATTAGTGATGATAAAACGAACGATTGCTAATACAGGTGATCATCTTGACAAGAGTCACTGTGGCTAATCATGATTATGGTAACAATCCTATGAAACGGCATACGTGTAAAAAGCATTCCGTAACCAATGGCTAAAGTTAATGAAGAATAAATGATGCCAAAAGCGAATTTCTTGGTGTTTTAACTTGTTAGCGCTCAATGTAAATTTATTTAACTCAAGCCTGGAAAATAGATGAACGACGAGGCCGCAAGCTTCAGCAGTGGCGAGTAACGCGATCAATAAAATATCGCCTTATCAATTTGTATTTTTCTGGTGGGCTGGGTACCACATACTGGCTTAGGAGTGTGAGCGTTCGCGAAGACGTGGTGATGCCAAACATGCGCCAAAAAACTGCAGAAGTTTGGCCAAAAGTTTCTGTTTGGTTAGACATTTTCTCTCAGGAGATGCATCAGCAGGCCGCACCAGGCAACGCAGCACCGGACAAACTAATCGGGAAGATTGCCATCTGCAGAACTGGCGAGCCGAATTACGATTTTCAGTTTATCAAATCATTTCAAATAACTATGTTTCAAGCTTTTAATAAAAATTTCATTTTTTGATATTGCCCACCTGTTTTTTAACTATTGCCATTTGACTCTCAAACATAAAGCGCGGTTTTCCGAAAGAAAATTCCATCTGCTCGTTCAATTTTTCTATTGGAAAAAAAATGACTCAGTAACTCAGTTACCTACATACTGGTTCTGTAGTGCTATTGCTAAGTTGCTCAAATGTGCAAAGGGGTGCTTTGAAATTTTCAAAAAAGGCTCGGAAAGTTTTTTAAAGGCAGCAAGAAATTTCTTCTCTCAAACAAACTAAGCAAGGTTCATAGCATTCTTTGGAACAGGATGATGGAGACTGAATTATAATGATGTAAAATATAAAGGGCTGCGAAGTGAAAGTAGGCTGGAAGTTCTGTAGTTTTTAAACTCTTAAAAAAATGGTGAATTGGGAGAAAGAAAAGCGAAAAAAGGAACTGTAAGCCGCTCCAAAGAAACTGCTCTTCTAAACAGCTCTACGTTTGTTATTCGTAAAAGTTGTTTACACGTTTTTACTGTACTGTGTAAAGGTGTTTGATAAAAGACATTAAGATCTTTTACGACCGGAAAGTGTAAAAACAGAAGTCTAGCGAATAGTGTACCTGGAAAGCAAGCAGTGAGAGGAATAGAGAAAAAATTCTGAATTTTGTGTTAAAAAGCAAAAGACTACTCTCAACACTTTTATATTTCTCAAAAGGGCAAGTCCTTTAGCGAAGTTGTGGTAAAATTATTTGTACCTCCCTCTACTTTTTCATTTCTGTATTGTTATGCTATTCGACACATGCTTATCATATACATGACAGATAAGAGGCTAAATTGATGATTTCCACTCTTATCAGCACACTGCGTTTGGTCTGTGTTTACAGTTTAAGGGATGAAACACAGACTGCATCCAAACATACTCCTTCCACATAATTTCTAGTCTGGTCCCTTATCTCCAACTTTTTTATTGTGTTCTGAGGCTCCTTTAATTAACTGGATTCAAATGTAGTAGTTTTCAGGTATTTCTGTTTGCATCAAGATGCGAAATGCACTAAAGCAATACATTAAATGAAGGGAAACAGTCAAAACCTGGTCAAATACTTCTGCCACAACTGGATCGGTAATTTTTTCTTCAGAGAGTGAAACGAACGTCACAATCGCCAGCAATTAATTACTGGACTGTAAAGCAATGGCCGAGATAACTGGATGCCTGCTGCATAACTGAAGAACCTGCCTGTGAAGTACAGCTGATCCGAGTATGCAAAAACACACGAAAACGAGAAAAAAACTTGAGGGCGTAGAGACGCTGTGAGATTGAAATGGCAGAGTTGGCTACGTGCAGTACAAATCGATGCTAGCAACGGCAAATTTGTTTTTCATCAAGAAAGGTATTTCCTGAAAAACATTTGATGTGCGAAGTGCCGAAAGTACAGCGCAGGCATCACTGCTGTGTTTTCCAGCTAAGCCGTGGGCATATTTTAAAACAGAAAGTTCAGTTATGAGAAAAGAGGAAGGACTTATGCGAGGCTTAGGCGGAACTCAGCCTTACATAATTCAACACCTTTTATGTGCTTTTGCATGTATGCAAGTGCAAAACGCCATTATAACAATACATGATGTGCGTGTGTGTTTGTGTGTGTATGTGCGTGTATGTCTGTTCTGGTATTTTAATTCGGCAACCATGTAAGCTTTTATGCAATAAGTCTGCCAGTGGTACCAACCAGATACGGCACCATTGCCAGTGGCCAAGCGCCACCCCAGGGCCGTGGTACCAACTTTCATCCACATCTGAGCCTCGCGTATTAGCACGTGAAAGTTTTGGGGAGATAACAGTTAACTCGGGAATCAGGAAAGCTGGAAGAGTAAAATTTTAAGGAAACATTCCCTGTCCAGGTACAACCTAATATTTCAAATTCTGCCCCCGGTATTGGCCTTTTCATGTAAAAAGTTTTGGCTGGAAAATTGCTCATTGAATAGCCTGGTCATTTTCAATGAACATCGGAAATTGTTCGTTATCCATTATGTAAAATTAACGAAAATCAAGTTAGACATCAAGTCAGAAAGTTAGAACATCAAGTCAGAAATGAAAATCAAGCTCATCGGAAATTGTTCATTTTCCATTATGCGAAATTTACGATGTTTTTCGCCAGTGATTAACAAACTAAATCTAATACAGCAATCATTCATACAGTTAACGACCTGACTGCTTCATGCTTACTGCAACCCAAATTGGAATGCACCAGCCTTACCGGTGCGATCATGCTTTTTTTCACCAAACTTTAAATAATTAGGTTAACTGCATGGATGGTTGTTTCTTCACATTTGCCTTGTGCACTCAATACCGTAAATCATCGCGAATGTTGCATAAACAAAAATAAACAGATTCCGTTTAGCAGCCGTTTTTTGAAAATGATCCAGCTATTCAACGAGCAATTTCATCGTCAAAAAATTTAAGTACCCGTATAGAGAATCACGCGTACCTGGGGGCTGGGCTTGATAACTCTATTGTGTATGGGTGGGGACTTCCCCTTAAAATTTCTGCCTCCTAGCCTTCCTGGTTTCCAAGTTAACAATTTCCTGGCCAGGAACCCTCACGGGGCCGTACGCAGAAACCACGCACACCTGATGAATTTGAAACCTTTGAGTTCTTTGTGGATGAAGAACATAACCTCAAAATTTCAGCCTTTTCTCTTTCCCGAGTTAGCAATTTTTCCACCAAAATTTTCAAGCGCTCGCACACAGCGCCCAGACATGCAT